ATCACCTCCAGCCTGTCCCGGGGGGCTGCACACCCATGGGGGCTCAGCATCCCCGGGGGCTGCACACCCATGGGGGCTCAGCATCACCTCCAGCCCGTCCTGGGGGGCTGCACACCCATGGGGGTTAGGGTGTCATCCATCCATCCATCCATCCATCCATCCATCCATCCATCCCTGCTCTGCAAACATCAGAGTAGCAGATCAACATCTGAATCTGAATATCTAATCACATTTATATATATGGGTATCTACATATGCATTAAAATGCATTACTTATATATACATATACATTTAGATAACTCTATAGATGGAGATAAACATAAAAATAACCCAGTGCCACCCCTGAGATTGTTCCTAAAACCCAGAGGACAATTGAAAGGCTTTAAGTTCCCTTTAAAAGAAGAGCCCATCAGCCAAGCCTCGCTCTGGGGGTACCCTGGTTTATTCCCCGTGTTCCTTGGGGTGCTGGTTCTCACTGGGACCCCGTGCCAGTGGTTGTAATATTTTACTGTCGGGCACATTGTGGGGCTCGGTGGGTACAGTGCACTGTTAGGAGATTTCCCCTGTTTTATGGGGGTAATTAGAACTTTATGACGGCAGCGAAATGGGAGGGTCTAGTCCCCATAAACGGGTTTATAATGGATATAAATTATGCACCTCTGTAACTGAGCAAGATTAACACTTTAGGGACAATTTGAGTGGCAGCCCAAAAATCAGAGGTGTTCTCAGTGATGACTGGACCTGAATTTTGGGAGGGTGAGATTGCCCCATCAGTGACCTGGCTGTCCATAGTGTCAATGGGTGAAGCATCACTGAGTCCAGTGTGTCCCCAAAAATTACATTTTGCTTTTCTCACCCCACTTTCACATCCTGGTCCACGCTGATGGCTGCATCCTGTGGGTCAGGCAGAGCCGGAGCTGCATCCCCTCCACCACCAGATCACTGGTGAATTTTTGGGGTCTCTTTTGGGGTTTGGCATTGCTGGTGATGTGCAGGACATGGGTGAAGGTCTGGGCAGAAGTGCAGCCCAGAGCTGGGGGAAGGGGCAGACACTGGAGGTTGGGATGTGCTGTGGCACCGTGGCAGCAGGGCTCCCGCTGCATGGGAAAGACAGTCAAAAGTACAATGAGGGTTTTTTAAAATACAATTTGTTAAGATCAAACATGACTTAAAGCAAAGCAGAACCAAACTGCTTCGCTGCTGTTGCTGCCAGAGGCACGGGCCTGGTGTGTGCTGAGAAAATGGTGCGAGGCTACGATGGAAGTGCTGAAGAGACCAACCCTTGCCCTAAACTCCCTCCCTGCCCCCCAAAGCCGAGGCGGGAGGATGAGTGTGGCACCCCAGAGCAGTCGGGGGGCTCTGGGGCTGTGTGTGGGTGCACAGGGCCCCTGCCCCGCGGGCTGGAACGGGGTTAAGGCTACGGGAGCCGGACCCTGCGGCTCGTCTGGGCCAGGGGAAAGCAGTAAAACATTTCACAGGCTGTGCAGCTCAGGGGCCACACAATGGCCCGTCCCATAAACACAGTTTTACATTATGGCTGTAGCTCCAGTTCAAAAAAAAGCCTTGGGGAGGGAAGGCTCCGTGGCCAGACCCATTCCCAGTGATCCCATGCAGGCTCCTCTCCTGAGCGGCCGCGGGAGGAGACTGAGGGGGAATAAATCCCTTTGCACAAGGGCTGCTTCCAGCTGTGGAGGCACAGGAGAGCAGCAGGAGAAGCCTTGTGCTGGGCTCTGATGGCTGGCTGAGCCCAGCTCATACAGCCTGGATGCCAAGGCTCGCTCTGGAGGAATCCTTCAGTCCTGCTGCTCCCAGCTGGAGCCGTGGCCCTGCACTCAGCCCGGCCGTGGGGCTCTCTGGGGAGCTCCCAGAGCCTGAGCTGCCAGGGCAGGGCTGGATCCTGGGCGTCAGTGATGGAGGGAGGCCTGGGGAGTCAGAGGAAAGGCAGCACCCCCGTCACCAGGGAGCTCTGTGCGTTCCAGCAGTGACAACAGCAACAGTGCCTTGTACTGGCTTCCCCATATTACTGATCTGATCTGCCCAAATCCAGCCCAGCCCTGGGGACACGTAAATAATAACATCCCTCCCGTTGTGGGGATGGGGAAAGCTCAGTGAGGATGGGGAAAACCCAGTGAGGATGGATGCTTCCTAAAGGGAGCCCTGGCAGAAGGCTTCTCCCTGCCCAGCAAGTGGCTTCTGAGCAGGGTCCTTGGTGGGGCTGGGGAGTGGCACCGCTGTCACCAGCCCCAGAGCCCAGCCTGGCTCTCCTGGGGAGAGTTAATCCTCATCAGGACACAGAGTCTTCAGTGGTTTTATCTGGAGACCCAAAATCCCAGTCCCCAGCCTATCTGGGAATCTCGGCGCTGGTTATTGTTCCTCAAACAATCAAAGTCTTGTCCTTGGGCTTGCAAGGAAGAGCTTCAAAATCAGCATTTAACCTCTCGTGTGTTTCAAAGCCAACTTCACAGCTTTGGGGGGCTTGGCTCATGAGGTACCACCCCCTCAGCTGGATAGGGCATGATTTTGCATTTAAAACGGACTGGTTTGTTGTTCTTACTGAGCCCAGAAGAGGCTGAAGAGGGCAGAAACTCTGATTTCCTTTGCGAGAGGAGCCGTCTGCGCTCTGGTCTATCTCTGAAATCACGCCCAGAAGAAAGGGCTTTATTTTATCTCCCCTGCCATTGTTTCAGCAGCGGGATCCCGGCCCAGAGTGAAGAACTCTGCAGGGCCGGGGCGGGAGGAATGTGTGTGACAGTGCCCGGGTTGGGCAATGTTTACCCTGTTCACGGCAGGGACGTCCACTCGGGCAAATATCCACCTGCCAGAGGACATTCTTTTATTATCAGGGATAAAGGGGTTTGCTGGGAAATCATCAGGAGCCAGACATGGGGAGGAGATTCCTATCTGTGGCTCGTGTTTAAGCAGCCGATGGGGAAAATTTGGAGTGGCTGTGTTGTGGTTTTGGTGGAGGGTGTGGGTAGGAAGTGCTTGGGCAGATGGTTTTGGAGCTGGGGGAAAGCTCCTGGACTCCAGTTACGATTTCTTTGCTTTTCCTTGGTTCAGAGATTAATTTTAGAGCGGCCCTTAGAGCATCCTTCACTGAGGCAGCCCCAGGCTGAAGCTCCCCTGTGATGGTGCTTCTGAGGAGCTGTCCCGTGTCCTCATGCACTGCCTGGTGCTCATGGTGGCTGCCAAGGTGGGCTTTGCCCCCGTGGGGTTTTTCCCCAGGAGAGCCATGGTTTGTCTGTCCATCATCCACCGCTTCGATCCCAGTTCAGTAAATCTGGCTGGGAGCACAGGCCTGGACTCCTCCTAATAAATGGCTTTTCACCCTAGCTGTCAAGGCAGCCCTGTAAAAGACACTTTTGTTTGCCATGGGTTTTCCTCAGTTAATTATTTGTGATCTGTAGATGCCTTTCCATGACACATGGCTGATCATATAGTTATCAGTGTGGGGTGCTTTAGCCAAATTAAATATATTTATGTAGAAGACCTGTGCTGGGGCCAGATTTCCCTCCAGGGCAGTGGAGGGCTGGGGTCTGCTCTGGAGGCTGGTGTGTGTCTGGCCCCTCTGCCTTGCTGGGGTGCCCTGTTAATCTTACACTTGTGGAGAGGGTGTTGAGAGATGCAGGAGGGCCTGAGAAAGCAGTGGGAGCTGTGGATGTGGGAGCTGGGGATGGCTGGGCTGCAGGCAGAGCCTCAGAGGGCTCAGGTGGGCGTGCAGCGTCACTCCTGGTGTGCAGGGTCACTCCTGGTGTGCAGGGTCACTCCTGGTGTGCAGGGTCACTTCTCATGTGCAGGGTCACTCCTGATGGTGCTGCAGGGTCACTCCTGATGGTTCAGGGTCACTCCTGGTGTGCAGGGTCACTCCTGGTGCAGGGTCACTCCTGGTGCAGGGTCACTCCTCATGGTGCTGCAGGGTCACTCCTGATGGTTCAGGGTCACTCATGGTGTGCAGGGTCACTCCTGATGCTGCAGGGTCACTCATGTGCAGGGTCACTCCTCATGGTGTGCAGGGTCACTCCTCATGCTGCAGTGTCACTCATGTTGCAGGATCACTCCTCATGGTGCAGGGTCACTCCTCATGGTTCAGGGTCACTCCTGATGATGCTGCAGGGTCACTTCTCATGGTTCAGGGTCACTCCTCATGGTGCTGCAGGGTCACTCCTGATGCTGCAGGGTCACTCCTCATGGTTCAGGGTCACTCCTCATGGTTCAGGGTCACTCCTCATGGTGCTGCAGGGTCACTCCTGATGCTGCAGGCTCCCCAGGCCAGTGTCCAAGAGCCGCAGCAGGAATTTGCAGGCCGGCTGTGAGCAGTGCAAATGGAAACAGGGGCTGCAGGTGCGCGTGGGTCTCCCTTGCCCCCGTGGCAGTGGACAACGTGGGACTGCAGCTCCAGCCATAAACTGCCTGGAATTGCAGGAGATGGGCCGGGGAGAAGCTGGGGAGCGGCGCTGGCGGAGGGGACTCCCTGTCCCGTGCTCCCCTCGCCGTTGCCGTTCCCGGGCGGCCCTTGGGAGCCGCACAGCTCCGCATCCCCGCGCCCCACGCCGAGGGAGGGCCGGGGCCGAGGGCCCGGCAGCACCCCGGGGCCCTCGGCGGGTCGGTGGGTGACGGGGCCGGCGCTGTTCGCAGGGACGCGGTACGGCGCGGCGGCGAGCGGCGAGGCGGCGTCCTCGGCGGCCATCGGCCACCACGGCGGCGGCGCCATGGTCACCACCAGCCAGGCTGTCCTGCAGCAGGTCTCCCCGGCCGGCCTGGACCCGGGCCACGGTTTGCTCTCTCCCGAAGGGAAAATGGTGAGTACACCTGGCCCGCTGTGGCGGCGGCGCTGATAAGATAAGAGGGCCCGGCGGGCCGAGCAAACACGCTTTCCCCGGGTTTCACACGCGGCAGGGCCGAACAATGGCGCATTGTGGGGGCGCCGAGTCCCGCCGGGACTCGCTGTGTTTGAGGCGCATCTGCCGGAGCCCGGGGTTCATTGATCGCAGCCTGAAGGCGCTGGGTGGATCACTGTTTGCTTTCCCCTGCCCGTGACATGGCTTCGATAAAATACTCATTCATTACGTGTTCCCTAAGCCCTCACAAGTTTGGGAAGAGCTTTCCCTGCCAGCAGGGACCTTCTTGTCCCAGGAGATTGAAGCTGCTCATGCTGGCTCTGGCCCCACTGCTCCTGCCTCTCCCCCTCCCCTTTGCCATGCCTTTGGGGCTCTGCTGGGCAGAGCTGATGGTGTCAGCCGGGCAGGAGTGGAGGTGGGACATCAGCATCCCTGTGGTGCTGGTGATGCAGGGCCATGGCAGGGCCCGGGCACTCAGGGTGCCCCTTCCTGCTGCAGAGCCCCTGGAGGGGTGGGTGAAGGAGCAGGGCAAGCAGGGGGTACAGGGGTTCAGGCCAGGACGGGATGGGATGTGGTAGCAGAGGCACAGCCCGTCCCTGGAGCAGGCTGGCAGAGGTTTGCCTGCAGCTGCTGCTTTTCCGGGAGTTCTTTTCCTGCTGAAATCGAAAGTCAAACATGGCACTGGGTGACGGGGCCAAGCCGGTTCTTCCCCGGTTTTCACTTCCATTTTCAGAGGGTTGTCCCTCCTGGGCCACCCCGTCGGTCTCCTGGCAAAGCTGGGTGGCCCTGGAGGGGCTCACTGTCCCCTCCCTCAGCCATGGCACTGGTTCATTGTGCCTTCCTTGGCTGGGGAGGGTCTCTGTGCAGCCCCTCGGGCCCAGCCGCTCACCCTGCGGAGCCAAACGTCCCCTGCCATGCTGGGGGGACATCACAGAGAGACACCCCAGCCCCTCCAGCCCACTCCCTCTGCCCCAGCACACCCAGATCACCTCAGGGTGTGTTGAGCCTCATAACCCCCAGCCTGGAAGCCATAAAATGAGTCAGGGATAAGGTGGAGGCAGCACTGTGTGCCCAGGGCAGGGGTCCAGGCAGTGCCAGCCCCCCCTGCCAGCTCCTGGGACCGGGACAGAGACCCCAGGAAGGGGCTGGGCAGCACGGGAGGAGGAAAGGGAGCAGATTAAACTGGGAAAAGCTGCTTGGTGAGGTGCAGGAGAAGAGCCCTGCTGAGTTCTCCCCCAGGCACAGCCACTGCCCAGAGCCGTGGGGACCGTGTGGGACCGCGGCTCTGCCAGCTTATCTCTGATCTCCAGGCAGGGCTAGCTGGTGCTTGCAAGTGATTTAATAGAAACATGCTGTAGGCTGTGGTTTCTAGTAAGTAAACATGTGCCTTTAATGCCCCACATGAAACTGCCAAGGAGGTTGCTGCATCTTTCAGGAAGGAGCGTAGCTGAGGCTCCAGAAATCTCTCGTGGCTCACTCTTTCATGCTCCAGTGTTTGCCTGAGCTGTGTTAGTGCCAGAGGGTCTTCCCTGAGGCTCCAGTGCCTGGAGGGTCTTTTCCAGTCATGCACAATCCAGGTGCAGTGCTCTGGGGCTAAACACCCCGTGAGAGGAGCAGGGCTGCGGGCGAGCAGCGTGTGCTTGCCGGGAGCTGTTTGACTTGTGCAGCCGAGTGTGGTGTAACCCGGCCTTGAAGGGACTTTGAAAGTGGAAAATACCGGATCAGGAAATGTGAGTCGCTCCCGGGCTTTGGAATTTATTGATGGATTTGTTTCAATTGCTATCTCCAGCTCACATGTGCAGAATAAACAAGGTGCTCGGAGCTGGTGTCCAGAAGTGTCACCTGAAGGGCTGCAGGGATGGCTCTGAGCTGGGATTGAGGTCACTCAGTGCAAGAGGGTTAACAACAGGAATTAGGGGAAGGTGCAGCAATTAAAGAAATAAGGCACTCACATGCGCTGGGGAGCAGCTCCAATTCTCACAGCACATGCCAAGTGCCTTTGTCTGATCCCTAAACTTTAGCCCAAAACCCAGGCACTGGCTCTGTCTGTGCACACCCACCCTGTCTCACCAGTATCCTGCCAGATGGATGACTAAGATCATCACCACGAGGCCCTTTTAATCTGCCTTCTCTCAATTTTCCTCACTCTCCTGAGTTTATGGGTCCCACTTTCCCCTCCAAGCACCATGGTCAGAAGTTAATGAGTGCTGAGAGCCCTCAGCTGTCCCCGTGGGCTGGAGCTTGGACTCGGGGTACGAAGCAGCAGAGGCTTGGGATGTGCCGTGTTCCGGTGCCACGCTCCGGTGGAGCTGGAAGCCGGTGCCAGCAAAGCCTTTCCCAACACTTTTTGCTGTGTACGAACACGAAGTGGAGGTGCTGCAGCCCCGTGGGGGCTCTCTGGGGTGAAGCCTGCTCCCCTCTGTCCCCGTGGGGAGGAGGGGGCCGGGGGCTCCCCGGGGCTCTGCTCTGACGGTGCTGTCCTGCCTGGCAGATCTCCGTGTCGGGGGGCGGGCTGCCCCCGGTGAGCACCCTGACCAACATCCACAGCCTGTCCCACCACAACCCGCAGCAGTCCCAGAACCTCATCATGACGCCGCTCTCGGGAGTCATGGCCATCGCCCAGAGTAAGTGCCCCCCGAGATCACCCCTGCGCCCTGCCCGGGCACGGGGTGGCACTGCCCGCTCCCGCCGGCGCTGACACCCCCGCCCTGCTCTCTCCCTGCTCCCAGGTCTGAACACCTCGCAGGCTCAGAGCGTCCCCGTCATCAACAGCGTGGCTGGCAGCCTGGCAGCCCTGCAGCCGGTGCAGTTCTCCCAGCAGCTGCACAGCCCGCACCAGCAGCCGCTGATGCAGCAGTCCCCGGGCCACATGGCACAGCAGCCCTTCATGGCCACCGTGACCCAGCTGCAGAACTCACACAGTAAGGCCTGGGGGGAGCTGCCTGCATGAATTCAGATGGGAAATCGGCTCGTGCTCTCCTCCCGCTCTGCCCTGCCCAAGCTGGCACCCCTGGCTGCTGCCCCTCTCTCGTGGTTCCAGCCCGTGGGATGCTCAGGCTGGTCACATCCTGCCTTATCCCTTCCTCCATGCTCCAGCCTCAGCCCCTCAGTCCCCACGGGTTTCTGGGGGCGAGGATGCAGTGGCTTGCGGGGGAGTGGTGGGTTCTTCCCTTGGCTTGTTTTATCCATCCCTGTCTCCCCGCTGCCCGTTCCCATCCCTGGACCTGCCGTGGCGAGGGCTGGGGTGGCTTTTCCCTGAGCTGTCCCCCTGCTGTCCGCAGTGTACGCACACAAACAGGAGCCTCCCCAGTACTCCCACACCTCCCGCTTCCCCTCGGCCATGGTGGTGACGGACACCAGCAGCATCAGCACGCTCACCAACATGTCTTCCAGTAAGCAGGTAATGGCCCACAGGGCTGGGGGGGGGCACGGCATGGGGGCCTGAAGGTGGGGTGGAGCTTTTCCAAACCCTCTGGGTGTGGGGCTGGAGGTGGGAGTAGCAGAGACCCCGTCCTGCTGCCTGTGGGGAGCTGAGGGTGAGAAGCCCATTCCAGCCCCTTCATGGACTCCAGAACACCTGGTTGCAGGTGGTGGGATGGGGATTTGGGTGATTTTGTCTAACACTGGGTGGTACCAGCCAGGCCCTGCTGATCCCTGGGGATCCCCATGGGACTGGGAGCACCCTGCTGATGCTGAGGAGGTAGAACCAAGCAGGCTCTGCTGCCCGTGTCCAGGGGGATCAACCCTGGTTGGAGTCAAGTGGAGCCCAAGGCTCCCCAGCTTCCCCCAGCCCATAAACCTTTATCATCTGCCCACTGCAGGTGTAAGGCCGGACTTATCCTGGTTCAAATCAGGTGTGTGAGGTTTTCCTTAGACAATAGTCCCTTTCTGAGAGCCAGCTCTGGGGACTGTGGGAAATATGTGGCCCTTATTGATCGCTAGATAAATAAGAGAGAGCCTTGAACTTGCATTCAGATAAACTTTCTTCCCGAGGTTTGACAGGGGACAGGGAAAAAATGTCTGCAATGACCACAGAGTAAATACAGTGTGGGATTGCTGTGAGACCCCCCCAGCATTGCTGTGAGACCCTCGGCGAGGGTGAAGGAAGGGGCTGGGGCTGCAAACAGGAGACACGAGGGGCTCGGGGTGCTTGGGAAGGGGTCACGAACGCCACCCCCCCGGGGATCCCACTCTGGGCAGGTCTCAGGGTGAGCACTGAGGCACGGCCGCCCCTCCGAGCTCCATTTCCTCCGTGCAGCTTTATCGGCCCATCTGCTGCGCGCTCAGCCCGAACTGCCCTGATTAATCGAGCTCTCCTGCCTTTGATGCCGGGCTGGCCGCGGCAGCCCCGGGACACAGGAAATGTCCCTGGCAGGGGGACAGAGCCCGGCCATCCCCGCTGCTGCGGGCCCTGCGATCAGCCTACCCTGACCAGCGCTGCCTCCATCACCTTCTTGCACTTTCCTGAAAGCAGGAGGAGGTGTCGCGGCTCAGGAGGGGGATACGGGGCCAGGACCCTTCACCTGCTGTGGTGAAGGGGCACCCACCCCCCTGTTACCCCAAATACATGATAAACATCCTGCAAGCATCAGGGCAGGGTCTGACCTGTCTCCAGCATCAAACCCTCCCAGCCCCTAGGGTCTCTTTTCCTACCAACCATTCTGTGCCCAAGCTACAGCCTGAAAAATTTATCTTTGGACATGGATCTCTTTCTTGGTGGTCAGCAGTTTCATTAGCAAGAGGTGAATGAAGTGTGACACATGTAGCATAGGGGCCCCATAAATGCTGCTCACCACCCAAATTGCTCAAATGCCTGAATATTTTTGGTGATTTGGGTTTCTGCCATTGACTGGGGCTACCAGGGGCTGTGCCCTGGCTCCTCATACCTTTCCCCCACCAGACCCCAAAACCTGTTCTGTAGTGGAAGTGGCTGCTCTGGGTCCTGCTGGAGGGACAGAGCTGGAGGGAGCTCTCTGGTCACCCCTCAGCTCTCCCCTCTTGCTGTGGGTCTCTTATCAGATGTTGTTGTTAGACCTGGAAGGGGCAAATACCTCCCCGTTCCTCTGACAACGCTTGAGGCCGAGCCACCGCGTTTATTACGTTGGCAAACACCTGATAGCCAGGCCCAGTCCCTAATGACATGTCACGGGAGGCTCCTGGCGTCTCCTTATCTCCGCAGGACGATGTTTGCTGTGCGCTCCAGCCCGCGAGGTCACCCCACCCCTGCCCCCCGCCCACCGGGGACTGGGGGGACCCCAAGCGTGGGCAGGGATGGAGAGGGGGGCTCTGCAGCGGGGTGGATGTGGCACGGGGGCTGCTCGGCTCTGTCCCTGGAGATGAGAGCGCTGCCGGGGCACGGCGATGAGCCCCCGGCGCCGCTCCCACCCCAGCCGGGCTCAGCCTCACGCCTGGCTGCTCCCGGGCTGCCCGGCACAGCCTGGGCACAAACAGCACCTTTTTTAGTCTTATTACTTTTGGGAGGGGGTGGCAACAGCCGGCTAAGAAAGTATTTTCCCACCGCCTCCCCCACAGGGGTGCCAGGGAGGGCTCGGGGCAGGGCAGCACCAAGGTGGTCACGGAGCGGTGATGCTCCAAATGCTTCGTGGCGCTGCTGCCCCCTCCCCGTCCCGCCTGGCTCACTGCGCTGCTCTCTCCCTCCGCAGTGTCCCCTGCAAGCCTGGTGATGCTCCACAGCAACGGGATCTTCTTTTCCACAACGTCCCGCCGGCGAGCCGCGCTCGGAGCCCGGGAGCCGCCCGCCGGAGCGCGGCCAGCGGCGGAGCCGGAGCGGGGCCGGGCTCGGGGCTCCCCGGCGGGGCCGGGCTCGGGGCTCCCCGGCGGGGCCGGGCTCGGGGCTCCCCGGCGGGGCCGGGCTCGGGGCTNGCCGGGCTCGGGGCTCCCCGGCGGGGCCGGGCTCGGGGCTCCCCGGCGGGGCCGGGCTCGGGGCTCCCCGGCGGGGCCGGGCTCGGGGCTCCCCGCCGCCCTCCCGCACCGCCCGAGCCGCGGCGCCCAGCCGGGACTGCCTCTCCTTCCCTCCACGCCGCCTGGATGTGTCTTGGGCATTGTTCTGCTGAAGTATTTGCCTTGCAAGAGGCTCTCCCGAGGAACGAGGCACGAGCAGTGCCGGGGACTGGCAGGAGGGGAAGATGGATCGTGGTTTGAGTCGTACTCCTCCGCTCGGACTGAGAGGGACCGGGGTCTGTTACTTGGCGTTTGGAGGGAGGAATTGCATGTGTTGTCGAACTGAGCCAATTAAACTGTAAATATAGGTACAGTCTGCTCCATCTTCCCCCCTCCCCACTCCTATACACAGAGATTTATATAAAAAAGAAGTAAATTTTGTCCAATGGATGTAAACTACTGTAATTAAGTGCAATTCCCCCATCTGTATATATTGGTCCTGAATATCTTCTTTTTCTCTTTTTTTTTTTTATGGTAAAGGTCAGAGATGAGGATGGTTTTGGTTTTGTATTTCTCGTTTTCCTTTAAATGAGTCAGTTCCAGTCCTGGGGCTGGCAAGGACCCTGGCCAGGCAGCACTGGGCTCTGCTGTGCAGGAGGACAGGCAGACACGTGTCCCCTGCACGGTGACATCCCACGTGAAGGAAGGGCACAGGGCGAGCTGAGCAGAGCCCTGGCAGGACCTGGATGATCCATGTGGGAACAGCTGCCACTACAACCACTCTCAATGGACTTCCCTGCTCCTGGGGACTCTGAGGTGGGCTCTGGTGGGCTGGGGAAGGACTCGGCAGCCTGGTGAACACATCCAGCTGCTGGGAAGGGTCAGCAGCTTCCAGGTGAGCCTGGAGCACTCACTGCTCCAGAGTGAAGGAGGCCACAGGGAATTCTGGTGGGATCTCCCCCATGGGTTCAGAGACTCTCCTGGATTTTCTCCTCCCTCGGGGCACAAAAGGGAGTGCCCATCACTGCCTCATGTCCTCCTAGTGAATGGCCAGTACGGGGGGCTTCTTCATCCCTTCAGCAGGTGATGATGAACCTTGTTGGCTCCACCCTTAGCAGTGCACAGGCTGCCCTCGTCCTCATGGATGGATGGATGGATGGATGGAATATGGGCTGTGGTGTGGACACTCCAGCTGCTGCCCTGTCTCAGCTGGCACCAGCTCCTGCATGGAAAGCTCTGCAGGAACATCTCCAGCTTGGGAATGATCCCAGCTCTGTGGTGAGGGCACGTCTAGCCCCTCAGGCACTCGCTGAGGACACACACCAGAGCCCTGGAGGAGTTTGCATGCCCAAGTCCAACCTCCCAAAGCCATGGAAGCTGTTAAAGGCATCATCTGCCCTCTGTGAGACACGAGCTCCTCTGTAAACGGATTTAATGCTCCCCAGCTCTGCTGATTTTTCATTAACTTTGTGGCATGTGCCAACTGCTGAGGGGGATTTCGAGAGGTGGAGAGCAGCAGAGGTGCCCGTGGACAGATAGCCATGCTAAGAAGGAGAGCACTGGATGCTCTCTGGGCTGACAAAGGCTCTTTGACTCAGTTGTCTGCACAGTGGGGCCCTCCCCTCGCTGGGACAGAGCTGCTCACCGGCGAATAAGTCATCAGGAAATTGCAGACCAATATTCAGAATTACATTTAATTTAATGTATACCATAATTAAACACCATTTCTTCTGAGCCCTTGCTGCTGCTGTGTGGTCTGTGAATTCCACAGGGGTCGTGTGTGGTGGTTTGGCAGAGGTGGGGCTGACAGGGACACGGGCTGGTGGCACGTCCCTCCTGCTGTCCCTTGCAGTGACCATCTCTGTTTATTCCTGCCTGCATCCAGGAGTCACAGGAGGTTTTTGGAGGTGGGGAGATCCATGTCCTCACCCTCCTAATGATGGCCTAATGATGCTGCCCTTAGCCCAGCAGTGTCTCATCCCCTGCTAGCTTTAGCAGCCCCGTGCTAAGCAAACCAATTAGGAGGGGAGTGCCAAAGCCAGCTCTGGAATCTGAGCCCGTGGGTCAGGGCAGCCCCAGGGGGAGGTGGCAGGGTGTGCTCTGGGGCTGGAGAGCTTTTGAAGATCCTTGATTGTGAAGAGCTAACAGAGCTGAGTGACTCAGAGCACAGCAGTGGGAAACTGGAATCTTTGTGAGTTCATGGTGATGTGGAGTAATGTGAGGCTTTCCCTGGGTGATGCAAATCCAGGTTGATTTGGCACTGCAGAAGGAGGAATGGACAATCCAGTGGGAAGCAGGTGGGAGAAGGAGGCACCAGACCTGCTGCAGCTGAGTCTATTGATGCAGTGCCTTTTGGGGCTTGATTTCTGCACCAGCTGGAAGAGAGTGAGACTGAAAGGATGGAGCTGGGGGTGTGAGAACCCTTTGGGAAATGGTCCAGGGTCAGTGCTGCTCTGCAGAGAAGGTAAGTGGAAACCTTTGGAAAAGGAGGCTTTGAGAACTGACCCCACCACAGAGGGATGTGGTGAAGGAAGAGGGGACAGAGCCAAAAAAATGAGGGAAAAGGTTAGAGGATACATCCAAATGAAGGCACAGAGGGAGCAGGTGACTCCCATGGAGCAGTGTGATGAAGCAGACAGGATAAAGTCAGTGATGTGAGTAGAACAAAGGATGAATACCAGATAACTCTCCCCAGGGGTGAGGGTTTCTGGAGCTGCTGAACAGGGACTGTGTGCTGGCACTTCCCATCCCTGGGCAGCAGGCTCTGGGACAGGGGGAGCAGGGCAGGGTGCGTAGGGTGCTGTGGGTGCCACACATACCTGCGTGGGGAGAAAGCTTCCTCTGATTTTGAGTTAACCTCTGCCTGAGGAAACCCTTCTGGATGGTAAATGCCACACAAAACTCTTCAGGGCAGCCTCTGCAGCAGCTGGGCTGGGGCTGGGGATGTCCCTGGACCTCACCTTGCTCAGAGAAGCCTTGGGTGGAACGTTTGCTCCCACAGGTGCCCTGGCTGCCTCGTTAAATTGCTGCCAAATGCGATGTCATGTCAAGTGAAGCTCCTGGAAGACACTGTTTTCCTCCTGTTGCTGTCAGGCACGTGGTGTTTGTGTCTGATTATGGGGCAAAGAAACCAGCAGAGCCACGGCAAAGTTTGTTTATGACCAAAATACTTTTACAGGGTTGGGTGATTATTTTACAGCTCAAAGCTGCTTACAAGGGAATTCCTTGCACGTGAGGATTCACAGCCTGCCACGAGGCTTTAGCATTGTCTTTTCACGTGAGCTGCAGCCTCCTTCATGGGCACAGGGACAAGGCTGGGCTAAATTAAAGCGCAGGTGTGGGTACAAAGGAGTAATCCCCCAAATCCCAGCTCTGCCAGGGCTGCCATGGGTCTGTGTGACACGAGGACCTGCTCTGTCCATGGAGTACCACCCAAAGCTCTGTTTTGGTGCTCCTTGCCCAGCCCGTGGGCTGAGGGTCAGGGGAAGAGCAGGGGAAGCCTGAGATGTGTGGAAGGCAGGGCAGGAGCGTGACCTCTCCTGCACCTCCAAGGGGAGCACAGCTCTGGCAGCTGGTAAAGCCCACACCCTGCCAGGCTCCTGTTTGTGCTGTGGGTGCTGCCAGCAAAGCTCTGGCTCAGAACCAGCTGGGCTGCCCTCGCTGCCCACCCCAGCGCCATGGCAGGGCTGCCCAAACCCTGAGCAGCAGCCCTGGGCACGGGGCTGTGCCAGGCCGGGCTGTGCCATGCCAGGCTGTGCCAGGCAGGGCTGTGCTGTACCCAAACACTTCAGAAGGCACTCAGCATCCAGGGCGAAGCTCTCTGCCCGCTGCAGCACATCCCTGATTGTTCCTGCAGCCCTGCCGTGCCCTGGGCTCCCGTGAACCCTGCAGGATCCTCCTCCCCTGGAGCAGCCCAGGCAGAACCGGAGCTCCGGGGGAGCCACCAGCACCAGCAGGGAGAGGTCTCTGAGCCCCTGGACTTTATTTCTGTGACCCAGAGAGAAAATTTAAAAGTCTAAAAACTCAAATGTGCCCTAGAGCTGTCCTGTCCCAGTGTAGGCGTAATGCAGAGCCGTGGAAAACCAAAGCCTCAGGCATTTTACGCCGTCTTCTAATTCAAGGAACTTTGATTTTACTTTTCTACTCAGCAAAACTAATCCTCCTCTCTGTAATTAATATGCTGCTGAAGTGGATTCTTAATTACAGATAAATCACAAATCTACACACTCAACTGTTATGCTTTTCAAGTAATAAAACAGATCGTTTGTCTTCCTCAGATGAACAGAGCCCAACCAGCACACCATTTCCCTCTTTATGAAGAATTCATTTGCCTTAGAAAGAAAGTCTTTAAAAAAACATTGCAAGGATTTCTTGAATAGGGGATCAAAGCTCCCACACTGCTGGAAACCATTTTTTGCTAAATAAGATGTGAGTAAAGGGGGAAAAAGTAAAAGTTTTTTGGTAGTGGTTGGGATTACAACACCCTCGGGAGGGACGAGGACGTGGGGTCAAGAAGTGGTGACCAGGTTAGCAACACAGGGAACAGAAGGGCAGGACAAAGGAACAGAAAGTGGAAATGGACAGCTGAATGAGGACGCATGTTTCTGTGCTGCAAGAGAATGGCTGCGACATCAATTCATACTGAGAGCTGAGGGCTGGGGGCTGCTAATGGATGGGGGGACACAGCAGGGCTCAGAGGTCAGCGGGGCTAATTGACTCCATGTGCATGGCAGTGCTGCTGGTGGAGCAGGAGGGCAGCAGTGCTGGGGTGCAGCAGGGCTGG